GCAAATGCCCCCCTGGTCACAGCTGACAAATGATGGTCAAAGGTCAGCTGTGGGTCCAGGAGGACTCTTAAAAAACATACACAATGAGACTGAAGGATTGAAAGAAGGAGCCCCAAAAACCTAAAGATTACAATTAAAGAACATTTTATTTATTCATATGGGGTAAAATATCTTAACAGTGCACATACTTAAGGATACTTTTGAACAGTGGACTCAGAAGTTAATTTTAACAGTGCCTGCCTCTTTAGAGATACTGTGTTTAAAAGCTATTATGGAAGAGGAACAATTTTTACTGTAGTAAGTCTGAAACTGATCTGAAAATAGATTTTAAAATGACACACTACAATAATGACATGGTAAAAGATGCTGTACTGTACATACAAAAGAAACCGGCTGATGTCTTGATCATTTAAAGAGATATGCAAATATCAAATAAAAAGAGTGACCTGGATAACTTTCCTATATTGGATTTACAAGAGACTTGTTAAAGGAAAAATTTGGTGAGAAGAAACAAAGAAAAAATGAAAAGGAATCAAGATCTGGGACATTATTTGAAGAAATTAAAGATCAAGATTTTAAAAATAGAAGAAAGGAATATAGGTAGTCCTCAACTTATGACCACAATTGAGACCAAAATTTCTGTTGCTAGGTGAGACATTTGTTAAGTGAGTTTTGCGCCATTTACTACTTTTCTTGCCACAGTTGTTAAGTGAATCAGCGCAGGTAAGTTAGTAACACAGCTATTAAGTAAATTTGGCTTCCCCGTTGACTTCACTTATCAGAAGGTTACAAAAGATGATCATATGACCCCAAGACACTGCAATTGTCATAAATATGAGTCAGTTGCCAAGTGTCTGAATTTTGATTGTGTGACCATGGAGATGCTGTAATGGTCATGTGTCACAAGTTATTTTTTTTCAATGCCATTGTAACTTCAAATGGTCACTAAATGAACTATTTTAAGTCATGGAGTACCTGTATGAAGTTGGTTTCTTTGATCAAGGTTCTAAAGTTACTAAAATTATTTATACTTCTTGTGATGAAGAGACAAGTTATTTCTTTTTATATTTATTTTCCTTTTTTAGTATATTCTTATTTTTATTTCTTTTGTATTTTTCTTTCTGTGTTTTTTCTGTACTATTTTTTCTTTTAGTTTGTGGTTAGTTTGTATTAGTTTTTATCCTTTTAACTGTAATTTTAACAATCATTTCTTTTTATTGATCCTGATTATATTTGTTATATTCTATTCCCTTTTTATTATTTTATGTTGCAGGTCATTGACAAATAAGCATTATATATATTACAATTTTAAGCCACTTTAAGATAAATCTTAAGCTATAAAAAGTATATTTGAGGAAAGGAAAAAAATAGAAATAAGATGAGAAGTTAACAACTACATGCATACACAAAATTCAAATAAAATGCATCCCGTTGGAGTAATGGAATTGTCTACTGTATGTACTTAAGATCAAGGATTTCAGAAGAAAGTCTTGCTCCCCTCCTCCCCTGCTCCAAGTAGTATCTTCAGTGCTATTAGAATGTGAAGGATATCTGCAAGCCTTTTTTTTCCTAAACAATGACTGCTGCTTTGCCCAATCAAGCAAATTGCTCTATCTCTGATTCACCAGTCTAAACATCATTTCAGAAAATTATCTAGTGGCTGAGCAATTCTATGATTAAATGATAAGCAGGACCAGTTTTAGAAGGAATTGTATGGGAGAGCTTTGGAGAAAAATAAAAAAAACGATTTCCCTCTATTTGAGCCTTTCAGCATGAGATAATTTACCAGATACTTTAGATGGCACTGTTGTGCTACATTACAAACTGGGTATGTGTTACAAATATCTTCTTGAATTTTGGACAAAACTCCACTGTCTAAGTTTGTGCTGAGAAAAAGAAAATATTAAAGGTAGGTGGAAAACATTTTGAGGTAAAAAGGATTGTGCAGCATTTCTACAAACTGTCACCCGATTCTCCAAATGTTTACAATTTTTGGCTTGCAGTTGTACTATAAACTCTACAATCCATTTCAAGCTGCTGATTTTTAAACTGTCTGATAGATGTTCTTAAAAACAGATATAAAAATAAATTATACAAACAGTGTATTGCTTATCTTATATAGGGGAGCTTCTATATTAAGAATTTCCACCTCTCAAAAATCTTGGAATAAAGGCAATTTTCAAGCTTTTACTTGCACAACATTGTCAGCCTGCCATCTTTCTATTTTAAGCACTACTTTTTTCCTCCTCTATCAAAGTTGCTCTCTACTAGCTTTTTCAACCTATCATGTTGTTGTAATTGGAGAGTTATTCACGCAACAAATTGACAGGTTAGAACAGATGCATCCCAGTACTAACAGGAGAAAGCAGAGCTGCCTGCATCTGCAGTTCTGTTAGGTCTTGCCAGTTTTCTGTTAGAAAAATAGTGTCATAGTTGCCAAACCGAGATATACTGCAAAAGAGCTTGTGTTATGCATGATTATTAGACAGGTGCTCCATCAGTTTTGAATAGCTGCCTTTGTTCATTATCAGATGATAGTTAAAATGTTATGGACAGCTGTTCAAATGGATTATATGAACCTTCCATATTAAGGCTTTCTAGTATTTTGTTTGTACTTCTATCTCAGTTGTGCTTTATCAATATCTTACTATATAGTTCTGTTTATTTTCCTTTAAGCAACAGACAGGGCAGTTCCAGGCTCAATATGCTGCAAATATTACCAGTGCAATGACAATGGATATATTCTTCTGTTTCCCTAGAAATAATATGGAAGCAGTTTGCCCCTGTTTTCTTCTGATCTGTTATTTCAACTTCCCAATCTAGTCTATAGCTTTGGAATTTCCTGATGCCGCCCATCCGAGTACTAATATTAGCTCTGACAATGCTTAGCTTTTTTAGGATGGAGGCCCAAATAAAAAGTAACATTTGAGCATTATGTGATTTTAACATGGGCTTGATACAAAATCATACATGAACATACAATACACCTAGCCACGTGACAGACAGGTAGTCCTTGATTTACAACCATAATTAAGTCCCACAACTAGTTATAAGTTGTGGTGGTCATAAAACAGATCGCCATGTTACTGCACCCAATTTTACAATCTTTTTTGAGGCAGTCATTAAATGAATGTGGTGGTTGAACTGCGGCCATTAAGCGAATCTAATGTATGCTATGGGACAGTTTTTGCCAGAAATCGGAAGTCAATGTTGGCTGGTTTCTGACCACCAAAAATGTGGCCACCTGATCATGGAGGGGAGACGACATTGGAGCTTTGAAACCGGTTGTAAGTTCCCTTTAGGGGATCCATCGTAATTTCAAACAGTCACCAAATGACTAAGTTGAGGATTACTTGTATATACTATGAAACATTTTGATGAAATGTAACTATGTCCCCTGTACAATTCTCTGCAGAGATCAGTTGCCAGGATTTTTTTTTCCATTTATGTGAGATATTGGCATTCCAAAAAATTGCCTTTTACTTTGAAAACTATTGAAAACAACCTTTTAAGAGCCCAATTTTGGGACCAAGAACTAATCTTTGGCTGATTTTCAATCAAATTTCTTTTTCTGTGAACTACCAAAGGGAAGAGGATCAATCCTTCCTTTTCAGCAATGTGGAAATAAATTATTTAAACTTTATTATTATTTACCTCTATTTTAATCTATCTCCAGATGCAACATATATATTTTAAAGTCAGCATGGTAATTATATATGCTTGGCAAAACTGTTCCATGCAATATTGGCCAACAAAATCAACAACTATAGTAGTTATTCAGGTCGTGTACTTTATCTATGAAAATGATTACCCCATCATTCAAGGAAGGCTAATTCCCAAATGGGAAAATATAAATTACTTTTAAGGAGTACAGTGTTCTATAATCACATAAAGGGAATGGCAATAAAAAAGCTGATTGTAAGTAAACATTATCTTTTGTCTTGGCAATGCTGCCATTTAGCTCTCTTAATTGTTCAGCCTTAGAAAAAATACAATTTCTTCATTATAGTTGCCTTCAAGAATTTTAATTTATTAGAAAGAGTTAACATTGTAGATTTTAAACTATGACTAAAATAACCAAATTAAAAAATGTGACTATGGTGAAAAAGTGATTATCTCATGAACATTTTGCAGGTAGTCTAATGATATCAGGAAAATAGGTTTCAAGAAAGCTTCTTTTATCTTAGCACCCTTCAAATTTGTTGGACTATATCTCCATTCATTGCTAACCAATGAAATCATTTATATTTTCCTGGCATTATTTTTATTTATTAGAAACAACTAGAATTTGTAAGATGATAGTACTGCAACTTTTAAAAGCTTTTGAAAATCTTCTGTTAGAATCCTTCAAAGTCCTCTAATATTCAAAACATATAATAAATACAGGAATCAGATTTAAGATATGTCTGACACACAATGGACTACACTTTGGAAGAATCCAGCATTATGAATGAGGAATAGGGGAAATTATTAAACTGGGAAAATTATTAAGAAGTATTATTATGGCCGCATAAGCAAGTAAAATTACTGGGAAAGCCTCAAATAAATGTTGAAAGTGTGGTAAAGAAAATGGCACCTATGTGCACATACAGTGGTCCTGTGACGTTGTACAAAGATTCTGATAAAAAATGATTAAAGAGATTAATAATATAGATATAAGAAAGTTTAGTTACGGTTCTGAGGTGTTTACTGACATTATTTAGTGAGGCAACATTAACTGTTCAATTCATAATGATTTGAGCAAAGCTAGCTAGAGTACAAAATTGGAAAACACATCAGAGACATCAGTTTTACATCTTTAGTATTAAAAAATTAAGAAAAAATGTTGTGATGGAAAAATTAACATGAGATGTGTTAAAAATTAAGATGAGAGGATTAGGATATACCAGAAAGGTTATTTTGGTTTTGGTTTGTAAAAAAATAATTCTTTCTGCAAAGCATAATAGGCAAAATTCCTCTTTTTGTTTATCCCAATGTGTCCAAAAGCTGCTACTGGAATCTGGCATGTTTTTAGATCTTTTTAATATATCTGCTGACTTTTAGAATCAGAAAATCCAAAGAAGAGTTTAAAAAAAATACCGATGTTTTGGCCACAAATCTATTATGCTTCTTTGATTCGGAACAGAGACATGTAAAAGCTGGCTATAACATTCTTTTCTTGGAAAAAGGGAGTATGACTTGTGGCTTTGTTCCTATGTACCTACAATCTTATGGCAAGCAGCAACACTGAGAAGTCTGGGTGATTTCAATTAGAAATACTGTTATAATCAAGAACTAAGAGTAAGTTATTTGCTGTAAAATTATTTTTGTCAGGTTGCAAATTTTTAAAAACCAGAAACTCATTAACCCTTCCATTGATATTTCTGAGATGCTAACTGGTTTGCAGCTTGAGCCTAATATGATAGGCTGAGAGAGACTGACAGGTCCAAAGTCATCCAGCTGGCTTTCATGGCTAAGATGGGACTTGAAATTATTGTCTATTTTATATCCATTATAGTCTACTTTATATCCTTATCTACTAAACCTAACTGGCTCCCTACTTACCTATTTGTTTTTTACACTAAGTAGCCAAAACTATTTCTCATCTTATGAGTTTCATTTTAAAACAAGGATGTTTTTCCCTCTTCCCTATATAGCCGTGATGGTGAACCTATGGCACAGGTGGCACATAGAGCCTTCTCTGCAGGCATGCCAGCTGTTGCCTCAGCCCACCTCCACCACGCATGCATGCGCCTCACACCAGCCAGTTGGTCTTCGAGTCCCTGCGCATGCACATGCACATCCTGTGCATGCTCCTGATCATGCCCATGCACAGGACAAACATGTTCATGAGGGGGCCACACACACACTCATGTCCCATTTTGGGCACCAACCTGGAAGCCAAAATGGGACACAGGGGCGCCATGCAATGCCCCCCTGTGCTCCATTTTGGGCCTGGAAAGCCTATTGCACCAACCTGCAAGCCAAAAAATGGGCGAGGTGGGGGACGCACATGCATGTGGGGGGAGGCGCTTGCATAGCATTTTTGGGTTTCGCATGCTTTGGGGACTTGGCACCAAAAAGGTTAGCCATCACAACTGTATAGCTATAAAAAATGAAGGAAAAAACTCAAAGAAATTTGAAAATGATTTACCTTTCAGTTTCTGGCCTCTTCTCGAGACTGTTGTTGTCTTTACTCTTCTCCATATCCTGTAGAAGAGTTATTTGGATAGGAGTATTTCGCCCCTCACTACTTGTACTGTTCCTGTGCTGTGATGTCCTGAAATCAGACTGGGAATTACGTTTCATGGCTTGGAGCTGAGCTAGTGGCACAATGTCACAACCCTGAGGCCTGTGCCACACAGTCTGCTGAGTGATGGCATTGTAATAATAGAAACGATTGTTGTTTTGATCAAAGAGTTCCCACCACTGGTTTTCATCAGACTGTCGAACTCTGAGATTAGGTGGTGGATCCCAACCACACTCTCCAGTTGTCAAATTGACGTACATCCGCTCCCTAGAACGGGGCTCAATAATTTCTACCCAATCTGAGCTGAAATAAAAAGGAAATACATAGTTAGTTCCAACATAGTTAGTTCCACCAAAATCACACTACTTTATGTACAGAACTACAGAAAAGGTTGCACATAGAACCAGGACCTATTTATAACGTTTGAGAGATCTGTTCTATTCTGATGGATTATATATCTATAAATATTTAGATTAAGTTTCTAAGATTAAAAATGCTCTAAACATGGGTAATAAATAAATGTTTATTTATACCAACTTTCTATTGCAATTTTTGATAAGATCCCAGTTCTATCTTAGGAACTGCAGTGTCATAAAACACACGGAATGTAACAGAGGAAATTCCATACTTCTTTTTGTAGCGGCTGTCCACAAAATTTAGAAAATCATCACCATGCTGAAGCCAATTCATAAAAATTGCTTGCAAGGTAGAACTTCTACCATGTGGATGGATACACACACACACACACACACACACACACATATACATACACACACACACACACA